TAGGAACACAAGCTTGTGCCTCCAATCTGGATAAAATCTATATAAATTTAAATTTTTATTTTATGTATATGAATATTTTGCTTGCATGCATGTATGTCTATGTCCCATATGTATGCCTGGTGCCTACAGAGTTCAGAAGAGGGCATTGGATTCCCTGGAACTGTAGTTATAGATGGTTGTGGGCTGACATGGATGCTGGAAATTAAACCTAGGTCCTCACAAGAACAAGTATTTTTAGCTACCATGGCATTCCTCCAGCCCCCATAAAAATTATTTTTTAACTTACATACAAAACTCACACAAGCTACATGCCCAAAAAACTCTTCTTTAGGAAAGGGTTTTAAGGCACATTTCTGTTTCATGTTTCTTTCAGATTTAGAAATCAGATTTTCAGATCCAAAACAAAGTATCCCTGGAAAATTGTCCAACAGTATTTTTTCTGATAGAAAAACTCAGCGGAGGGGGGGGGACTTCTAGAATAAAAAGTGTAGGTCCCTAGAATATAGGTATGAGGTAAATGGGGCAGGTGATTGTCATTCCTGAGAAAATACCCACTTAGAAGGAGAATGGGTTTGAGGAAAACTTGAGTCTAGGAACTGATCTCTCAGCTAAACTAATAATTATAAAAAGCAAGACCTGCCACATGTGGGAACACAGAAAGGGAGAAGCTGGACTCAAATGATCAATAAAATATTGATACAAAAAAGAAACTCTAGAAGTGCCAGAAATGTCTAAAGGCCTTAGTGACAGTTAAGCACTCATTGAACATCACCAAATACACACAGGAGATAGAAGACCTTACTCATGTCGTGAATGTGAAGATGCTACAAAACGGTTCGGCACTAACCAAGCCATACCGATGGAAAACCGTGTACGTGTTCTATGTGGAAGGACATTCAACCAGATTGCCCTACTGATCCAGCCCCAGAGAACTCACAAAGGTGAGAATCCATATGAGTGTAGTAAATGTGGGAAATCCTTCAGCTTCAGATCATCCTTCAACCAGCATGAGCAGACTCACATAGTTGAGAAACCCTCTGAGTGCAGTGAGTGTGGGAAGGCCTTTCAGCAAATTATCACCTCACCCAGCACCTACAAACCACACTGACGAGAAGCCCTATCTTTGGGAATATGGCAAGGCCTTGAGCCATAGCTCATCCCTGACCAAACACCATCAAATCCACACTGGAGAGAAGCCCTATGGCTGCTGTGAGTGGGGGAAAGCCTTCATCCACATCACACCATTGTTTCAGCATCAGAGAACCCACACAGGAGAAAAGTCCTATGAATGCAGTGACGGTGGCAAGGTCTTCAGCCACAGCTCAACTCTAACAGAACATCAGCAAATTCATAGTGGGGAAAAGCCCTATGAAAAGCCAGCTTGCTCCCCTCATTCAGCATCGGAGGAGCCACACAGGAAAGAAGCTCTATGAATGTAGTGAATGTAGTGCCTTCAGCCAGAGTTCCCTTCTCATAGAACACCAAAGGATTCACACCGAGGAAAAGCCTTTGAGCACAATGAATGTGGGAAATCCTTCAGCCACAGCTCATCACTCAGCCAGTATGAAAGGACACACACTGGGGAAAAGCCCTGAGTGTCCTGATTGTTCCAAGCCCTTCAATCAGAGCACCTAGTCTTACTCAGCACCAGAGAATCCACAGGAGAGAAACTATACAAGTGCAGGGATTGTGGCAAAGCCTTCACACACAGCCCTTCTCTTACCAAGCACCAGAGAACTCATACCTAATCCACATTTTAGATAGATAGATAGATGATAGATAGATAGATAGATAGATAGATAGATAGATAGATAGATAGATAGATAGATAGATAGAGATATATATTGCACATCATACTCTTGAAGTGGTACTGAAGAATAATAGTTCAAGTTGACTCTGATAACCCTAGAAAATACAACGGCAAAATAAATGACATCTTCATGAAATTTCTGTGAATATTTGACTATCTAAGCACACAGCTGGTTTTTTAAATAAATTGATAAGTGTATACCCCTAGCAGCATGCTCTTACAATCAATTAACTAATTGATGTTTTACAATCAATTAACTAATGTGCAATCAGATTTAAAAGCCTCACAGATTTTTAGATGACTTCACTCTGTTCTCAAACTTTACTGTACAACACATGGGTATTAGAAATGCAAATAATGCTGTTTTATGAAAAAGAGGAAGATTTATTCAGTTAAGCTACCATCCCATGAACAATAGTCCCTCACACTGGAACCCTATGTTCCGTAAAATTTCTTTTTTGGAAATTGTACAATGTACAAACTAATTCTTTCCTGAGCTTTCCATTGATTGTTTATCTCAATGTCCAATAATGTTTTGTTGTTGTTGCTACTATTCTGGCATTTTGTGTTTTAGACAGAGTCTCGGATAGCCCAGACAAGCCTTGAACTTGTGTGTGTGGCCTAGGCTGGCCTTGAACTCATATTGGTGCCCCTGCTGCTATCTCCTAATTGCTGGGAGTACATCACTATGTGTGATAAACTTTGGCTTTTATATTCAACTTGGAAGCTCTTGGATGTTGGGGGGTTGTTGTTGTTTTTATTTTTCTTCCTGTGCAACTTTAGAGTTTGTCCTGGAACTTGCTCTGTAGACCAGGTTGGCCTCAAACACACAAGGGATCCTCCTGCCTCTGCCTCTTACATGCTAGATTTAAGATGTATCACCACTGCCCAGTTGAAAACTCATTTTAATATTTAACTTCAACACTTTGTTTTTATATTTAACTTAAAAGTCCACAATATTTCATTGAACCCTAAATCCACAAATAGTCTTCTAAAAACCATAACCTGTAAATGGTGACTTGTCATATTTGTTAGAAAGGATATCGGCTGGTTTTGGTCCTCAACCATCAATAATGTTTATATCAGATGATTTTATTTTGTAATCACAGTGCTAGAATATATATTCCTAACTATTCTGCAGTTTCTCTTGGGGTACCACATGTTTTAGTCTTCCAACTCTGGTCTTTGGTATGCCTGTGGGATGCTTTTTTGGAACTGAAGTTTTAAATGTGGAATGTGGTGGCACATACCCATAATCCCAGCTTTAGGGAAGCTGAGACTAGAGTACTGCCAAGTTCAAGGCCATCTTGGGTTATATAGTGAGACCCTGTCTCAAAAACTGTAAGAGTTGGAAATGGAACTCAATGGTGTGCATGGGTACTTGCCTAGCAAGTACCGCAAGGCCCAGGATTTCATCCCCGAAACAGGAAAAAATAAAACTGAGCCATACATGTGAGTGAAAATGTTGTGATAACGCCCTTTATTCTGTATGCTAACCTAAAAGTTGCTCTAATGTAACTACCATACACACACATACATTGTCTCAAGGGCTGGCATTTGATAATCTATAATCCCAGCACTGTGAAAGCAGAGATAGAATCACAGACTCAGGGCCAGCATGGGCTATAGCAAGAGACACTACCTCAAAAATATAAAATTTAATTTAATTTTCAAACTAACCTAGTTGGTGGCCTATAATCCCAGTACTTGGGAGATCAAGACAGGAGGATCAGAAATTCAAGGTCATTCTCAATTACTTTGCAAAGTCTGAGCTGTGAGATCCCATCTCAAAAAAAAAAAAAAAAAAAAAAAAAAAAAAAAAAAAAAACAAAAAAAAAAAAAAAAAAAACAAAAAAAAAAAAAAAAAAAAAAAAACACCACACACAAAAAAAGCAAAAAAGCCAAACCTACATAACTACAAAAAGCAGGTGCAGTTAATATTTACCACTATGCGCCATGTTACCATTCTGACATACAAAACTTAGGTATAGGCTTTCTTTGAATCTAATGTGCTAATCACTTCCAGCAGTCAGTTCATTGGACTACATTTAGGTGCTAACTGGACACCTTACCAGACACAGCAATTCAATAGCTGTCCTTTCTTCAGCTCTTCTGATCTCCTTTGACTGCTCCAGAAATCCATGGTCCATTCCAGTAACAAAGAAAGTTTAAATAAAAAAAAAAAAGAGAGAGAGAGAGAGTGAGCTTGAAGAATGCTGAGAACAACTGATAAACATGGAGGGAGAATCACTTTGTAGATTTCATGGTAAGGACTTGATTTAGGCAATTGCCAATGATAAATACAGGGCTAGAATTTTGATTAAGAGTAGAATACTTACCTTATCGCAGAGTATCTCCTCACATATTGCTTAAACACTCCAAGCAGGTGAGCAGATAAGGTATCACAACAGGCGCACATGGGCATAGCACATCCTCAAGACGGAAGTATGTTCACTTGCAAAGCATGGGTGCATTGGGTAGAGTAGTAGTCACAGCAGGTCTGGGTAAGGAGTGCACGGAGATCCTCTTATACTCTTTATTTTTGTGCCTTTCCTGGAAGTTCAACTTTAGAATAGGAAGACAGACCTCCCACTGGTTCACTTACACAGAAGAAACTGAAGAGATGGAGTACTAGGGTGTAGCCCAGGAAAATCTCTCAGTGACAGGAGGAGAAAGCAGGCTGACCGGTATGTACTTGGAATGGAATTAGGAAAACACATTGAGACTTTTTTACCAGAAGAAAATTTAGCTCAGCTTAGCAGAGGGAACCACCTAAATAGGCAGTGCAAGGATCCTTATGAGTGATGAGGCCATCTGATCAGTTTTCTCTAAAGCAGCAATTCTCAACCCTCCTAACACTGCAGCCCTTTAATACAGTTCATGTTGTGGTGATCCCAACCATAAAATTACTTTGTTGCTACTTTATAACTAATTTTGCTACTGTTATGAATCATAATGTAAATATATGATATGTAGGATATCTGATACATGACCCCCTAAAGGAGCATAACTCATAGATTGAGAACCACTGCTCTAAGACTTGTGAGTGAAAGTGATGTGAGTCTTCTTCCAGGGAAAGGGCACAGACTTTTCAGTATGTTCCTAGAGTCCCAATAGGAAGAAAGCTACAGCAGGGAAGGTGCCTGGATCAAGGAAGCAGCTGGCCAATAAAAACCAAGGAACAATAATATTAATGAAGAAATAAATACTTTATTATGGTAAGCCTCTGGTTTGGGGGTTACACAAATTGCCTCCTCAAACACTGACAGAGACACCTTTCTGTATCTGCATGGCAATTAAATTTATGGTAAGGCAACAGAAACAATGCTGTAAACTGAAGATAAAGCAAAACCTCAAGATCACCTATGTAGGCCACATTTGGTTCTTAGTTCAGATACAGATCATTTCTTCAACCTTTGTTAGTATTTTTAAACCTCTTTTGATCATACCCCTAATAAATACATTTAACATGGTAGCCAGCTCTCAGATACACAGCTGAGAAGTTTCACAAAACAATACTTGCCTTTGCTGCATGATGCATTCTGACCTACTTTATTCTACTTCATTGCTTTGTAATGCCAGTAGCCATCCACTAACTGGATTTCACAATTTCACTAATGGGCTGAAACGCACAGTCCAAAATCAGCAAGTTTTTGTGATCTTTGCAAGCAACTCCATATATTAAAATACATGTAACTTGAACTCAGGAACAGTTTTTACTCTTGAGGATTCAGAAGTAAACCTGACATTACAATTTACAAAAAGGCCAAATGTGTGAAGTTCAAGGAGAAGCAACTGAGGCAAAGAATGCTCAAGAAAACACCACATACTTTAAGGCAACATAACACTTTGTACAATGTCAAATGACCAGAGTATGTGAGGTATTAAAACACTGCAGAAATGGAGTTTTCCCTCACATCTGATGGCTTACAGGATAGGACATTAGCCCAAAGTATGTTTCTAAGATGAGGGCTTCCTGTGAGCCACACCCATTTCCAGTTGCTTTCAGTACATGAGCATCCAGAAAGTAACACAGATGTGCCCATAGATACCACAGGAAGCCACCACCACACATGCGCCTTAAGAACACTCATGCTACAACTGTCATGTCATGGGATACTCATAGCAGAGTTCCTTATCTGACACCTCAGGTTGTACAGGGAAAACTACCCATACACTAGGAGCTGTCAATCTCCTCACCAGTGGCTTTGCTTGTGGCAGAGATGGGCACTGAGCGTGGCTTTTTTTGTATGTGACTCTTCCGGTGCTTGACCACAGCCAAGCAGAACTGGAAGGGGTCCTAGCAGTCCTGGCTTACATGGCATGTCTCAGTGCTGTGGCTCTTGTGATGCTCTATAAGATTCGAGATCCATGCAAAGGCCTCGCCACATTCACTACATGTATAGGGGTTCCCTTGGGATGCATGAAACTCATCAACTGCAGGGCATCGCACAGCATAAGTTCCTGGGTCCTGCCCAGAATCACAGCCACCCACATGGAGCTCCTTCCCTGCATCAAATGGCGGCTTGTAGCTGCTGGTGCTGGACGGACACTCAGGGTCCTCTTCGTCCTCGTCATCTGGATGAGGCCTCTTTGTCCCAGTGCCTTTATGTGATATAGCCTTGTCCTGGGCTGACTGCTGGATGACTGATTGCCTCTGGGGACTGGCAGGACTTGAATCCTCATCCACAGCATCCAGGGCCTTCTGAGGTTGCTGTTCCTCCTGGGCAGTGTCTATCGAAGGACTAACAGGAACATCCCCTGAAAGCCTCTCCATCAGTGTCTCCCCCATGGAGACTTCCTCACACATATTTCCTTTGCTTTCCTGCTGCCCTGTACTGTCTGAAATAAAGTCAAAATGTGAGCAGTCCTGCTTCCCAGGCTCTGAGACAGAAACTGACTTGAGCAGAAATCAAGAAAACAAAGTGTGAGGCCCAAAGGGCATCAGATAAGAACAAGAGCAGGCACAGCCTAACCCCTTTACAACTCAGAATCATACAACAGCTGAGCGCAGTATCACACGCCTCACAGGACCCCTCCCAGTCTGCAAAGAACTATGAGAGGGTCTAGGGGACATGTCTGTCACCAGTAAGGACCAAAGGAGTCTTGGTAAGCCATCCAGTTATATCCATGGCCTTCAATGAGCCAAAGTCTCTGGCTTGGCCCTGAAGTCATCCGTGGCCAATGGAACAGTAGTATGCACACGAAACATGCACAGGTGTGGTACGTGCTTACCCTCTGGGATTCTCCCAATGAAACCCAGCAGTATCTATGAGAAAACCAAAGCCAGGCCTTTGGAGAGGTAATGGGCGGGGGAACAGGTCCACAGTGTCAACTCAGCTCCAATGAGAGCCTTTGTCATTCAGGCAGTGTATGGGAAACTATTCCTAGATTCGAGCCTCTAAATGATGGTGGCTTTGTGTGTGCCTTCAGAACCACCAAAAAGAAGTAGAGGGGCCACAAAGTTAAGCTCAGTCAGCTGACAGATCACAAATGTGTAGTCTTTTGGGTAACATTTTTAGAAGAGCTTACTATGCAGTAAGAAATAATGCAATGGTATTCTGTCCCCAAACAATGGACAGGAAAATGAAGACAGTCAAAGCTAGTGTATCTGCTGAGGCTAATGGAAATGTGAGGAGCCCCATCAGCTGTAAAAGAGAATTGTACCCTTTATACCCCCACCAGGCTCACATCTATCACCACCTAACTCAACCTCACCTGGGAGGCTGCCTCCTGGTAGTTCTTCTGCCATACAACATTCCTCTGGTTCTGTCTCCAGCGTGGAGGATGGACCAGCCTGGAAAAACTGACACCCTGAGGTTTAGAGAGAAGAAAGCAAAGGAATCATGAGAAAGCTAAGAGGCTTCATGTCCTATTGGGTCTCTGGGACCCAGACTGCAACTACCGTTTTCTCTGCATTAGGACAATTCCTGTCCATTCCCCTGTCCCATCCTGTCCCCCTCTACCACCATCAAAGCTGCCCTCTAGTCAGAGGCCCTGAAAAGCTGAGGTTTCTAACAAAGGCAGCAGAGGCAAAGAGGAGGATCTTATAGGAGGCTGGAGGCTGCCTGTGAGCAGGTAGGAAATGGAGAATGTCCAGAGGGGAGCACAGCTGAAAACATAGCATAAAATGGACTTGGTAGCAGAGTACATGCCATTTGTGAGATCTTGAGTCAATCCCCAGTACAAAAAAACTAAAATACAGAATTAGAACTATAATAAAGACCTCCGGAGTCTAGATACGAGCTTCCCTGCAAAGAGCTTCAGTGAAAGATCATTCCCCAGGCCCTGCTCTGCATCAACAAAGTGGGAGTGCTTGGAGGATTGGAGTCAGAAGGCCTTTCCGAATCCAGACACTTCAGTTCTCACAGGCCAAGGCTGCAAACAAAGCCCTAGAGCCCAGAGAGAACTTAAAAGTGTAGACCAGGACAAGTGGAGAACTTGGCAAACAAATCCTAGTTCAAAGACACTTAAAACATGTTCAGCTCCAAACATTTAAATCACCCTTGGTGATTCAACTATACAGTTCCTGGGATGGTCAGAATCTTCCATGCCAACACTTCTAGAAGAGGATGCAGGACAGAACGTGAGCCAGTGGGAGGTAGGTCTCACCCAACAGGAGCAGCTTGCTGTAACTGGTCAGGTTATCTTCTGTGGGGTCCAGGTTGTCCCATTCTGACTGTAGAGACTCCTGTGGAAATGGTAACGATTTCTAAAACAGCAGCTCTGACCCACCCCACGTTATACTGAAGCAATGCCCTTCCTTAGGTTCTATCCTTGAGTTTCCACAAGGACAGCTTTCTTAGCAGTAGCATTATAGATATTTGGGTCCATAATCCTTTGCTATGACAGAGCATTAATATCGAGAGAAGGAGCAACAGTCAGAAGGGAAAGACCATGTGTGTGTGGCTGGACAAGATCAGCCTCCCAGGGCAGCAGTGGCTCCTTTCCTCACCTTTGGCTCAGCTGTGACAGAGTTGGCCTCTTCATTCTTTTCTCCCTCTAAATGTTTTTCATCCAGATGTACAGATTCCAGAGTAGGCCAGGCTGGAAGAAGGGGAGCTAAGGAGACAAGTTCTCAGTGGCTGTGTCTCCAAAATAAGCATATCCCACTGCCTCCCACACAGCCCCGGGACAAATGTAGAAAGGCTTCCTCCTGTACATATCACAGGTCCCAAAGCTCAGTGAACACTACATTTGTCTGCGACTGACAGAGCAACATGGACACAAAAATAAAGAAACATGAAGACAGTAAGATGGCGGTGCACGCCTTTAATTCTAGCACTCGGGAGGCAGAGGCAGGAAGATCTCTAAGTTTGAGGCCACCACTGAAGCAATTCAGGTCATGAAGGAAGAACTTTTTTGTGCCAACTAGATTGGTAGAAAATGTTAGACACCCAGGGCAACTATGCTGGATTTAAATGTATCACAAAGGTTATGGATAACTGCATGGTTAAAGTGTATATGCCCTCCATCCAGAGGTTGTTAGAAAACCATACCACGCACGCTAGAGTGCCTACAAGTAAAGCATGATGTTGCAGCCCATTTCTGAAAAGCAAAATGGAGAGGCTGAGTATGTGGAATGCCAAGAGGTGAGGAGCCAAAACTTTTACCACAGCTGCCCTATTTGAGTAACAAATATGAGGGCACAATTAATCAATATAGGAAGTAGAAAAAGAAAAGATCTCCTGAGTAAACTGGGAGCGCGGGGATCATGGGAGAGGGTAGAAGTAGAGGGGGCAGGAAGAGAGAAGTGGAGAAAAATATATAGCTCAATAAAAACAAAAATGTGAGGGCGCAAGTACACCATGGTCCTATAAACCTTCTGTATACATGTGTATATGGAGAAAGACATGAAAGGACATCCTCCAGGATGGGGTATGGACAAAGAAAACTTTTTTGGCAGTACTGAGGTTTTAACCCAGAACCTTATGCTGCTAATGGGCACACTCCTATGCTGGCATTGAAATATATCTACAATGAAATTATTTCTTGGTTAATAACCATGTAAGGCTGACAAAATTTGCATGACCTACAGAAACAAGTCCCAACTACAGTACACATCCATGCCTTGCTACCTGACCTATCCCTGGTTTTCATGGCACCTCACCACATCCTCCCTTTCCCAACCACAGACCTCCATCTATCTCCTTAATGAAGGCCAGGTGAGGCTAGAGAAATGCTGCTACTTACACGTATCACGGCGTACAAGGATGTCCCTAGGTCTTAGGTCTCTGCTGGGACCCAACAACCCACGTGGTAGCAGCAGGGGCTCAGGACACCTCTTATAGTCTCCCTCTCTGAATGAAGATGATGACCCACCTGGGGAACACAACATCATTCCTGTGTACAATCAAGGCAATAGTGACTCCAATAGGTTGAGACACATGCTAACAATCACACAGCAAATCCACAATGGGCCAGGTACGGACCCAAGGTATGACCCAAGCCCCTAGGCTCCCAGACACCATCACCACCCATCTCTCAGGCCCCACCCTTAGACATGGAGGAAACCCCCAGCTAGCAATACACCCAGAATATTTACCTAGTTTTTAAGAGCCTGGTACCTGCCTTTGATTGCCCTCCATTTCGCCTCCTTCCTAACATCTGGAAAGCAAATGTGAGGGCAGGAACCCAAGGCAGCTGTCCTAGTCCATGAGGTAAGCCTGATGGAGATACCACTGGGCAGAGATGTGGGGGCTTGGATCCCTGGAGACTGAGGAGCTCCCTTACCAGCTCAGGGATGATTGTTTCTGTGCCCCTTAACACATGGGGTAACTACACTCTCAGGAATGCCACGGCTGGGGTCTGAACTCTATGTTGCAGATTCCAGTCCTTCCAGGACCTCCTGCCCGTCTCCTCTAAGGCATGCTTTCTTCTGGGGTGGCAGCCTCACCTGGCTCCTCCAGGATGTCAGAGAGACCCTCCACCAGGGAGGCAGCCTTCTCGCAGTTCTCAGGATACTGGGCTACCACCCAGGGACGAACCCTGTCTGGCAAGATGCCCAGAAACTGCTCCAGAACCAGCAGCTCCAGGATCTGCTCTTTGGAGCAGGCCTCGGGCCGCAGCCACTGGCGGCATAGCTCATGAAGCTGGGCCAGAGTCTGGTGAGGTCCAGCTGCCTCCTGGTAGACAAACTCCCGAAAGCGTAGGCGGGAAAACTCCAGGTCAACAGCAGATCTTTCAGTGCTGGTTTCTGTTTCCTTCTGCTGGGCAGGCTTTTCCTGTTGGCTGGATTCTTCCTGTTGGTTAGGTTGATCCTTTTGGCTAGGCTCTTCCTGTTGCCTGGGTTCTTCCAGCTGGTTAGGTTCTTCCTGTTGGCTGAGTTCTTCCTGTTGCCTGGGTTCTTCCAGCTGGTTAGGTTCTTCCTGTTGCCTGGGTTCTTCCAGCTGGTTAGGTTCTTCCAGTTGCCTGGGTTCTTCCAGCTGGTTAGGTTCTTCCTGTTGGCTGAGTTCTTCCTGTTGCCTGGGTTCTTCCAGCTGGTTAGGTTCTTCCTGTTGCCTGGGTTCTTCCAGCTGGTTAGGTTCTTCCTGTTGCCTGGGTTCTTCCAGCTGGTTAGGTTCTTCCTGTTGGCTGAGTTCTTCCTGTTGCCTGGGTTCTTCCAGCTGGTTAGGTTCTTCCTGTTGCCTGGGTTCTTCCAGCTGGTTAGGTTCTTCCTGTTGCCTGGGTTCTTCCAGCTGGTTAGGTTCTTCCTGTTGGCTGAGTTCTTCCTGTTGCCTGGGTTCTTCCAGCTGGTTAGGTTCTTCCTGTTGCCTGGGTTCTTCCAGCTGGTTAGGTTCTTCCTGTTGCCTGGGTTCTTCCAGCTGGTTAGGTTCTTCCTGTTGGCTGAGTTCTTCCTGTTGCCTGGGTTCTTCCAGCTGGTTAGGTTCTTCCTGTTGCCTGGGTTCTTCCAGCTGGTTAGGTTCTTCCTGTTGCCTGGGTTCTTCCAGCTGGTTAGGTTCTTCCTGTTGCCTGGGTTCTTCCAGCTGGTTAGGTTCTTCCTGTTGCCTGGGTTCTTCCAGCTGGTTAAATTCTTCCTGTTGGCTGAGTTCCTTCTGTTGCCTGGGTTCTTTCTGTTGGCTGGGTTCTTCCAGCTGGTTAGGTTCTTCCGGCTGGCTGGGTTCTTCCTGCTGGCTGGGTTCTTCCTGTTGGCTGGGTTCTTCCTGTTGGCTGGGTTTTTTCTGTTGGCTGGGTTCTTCCTCTTGGCTGGGTTCTTCCTCTTGGCTGGGTTCTTCCTCTTGGCTGGGTTCTTCCTGTTGCCTGGGTTCTTCCTGTTGCCTGGGTTCTTCCTGTTGCCTGGGTTCTTCCTGCTGGCTAGGCTCTTTCTGTTGGCTGGGTTCCTCCTGTTTGCTGAACCCTACCTGCTGGATGGGCTTCTCTAGCTGAATGAATTCTTCCTTTTGGATGGACTTATCCTGCTGAGTGGACTCCTCCTGGTGGATGAGTTCCTGTTGGATGAAAGCATCTTGAATGGGTTCTTCGTACTGAATGAAGGCTTCCTGTTGGATAGGTTCCTCCTGCTGAATAAATTCCTGCTGCTGGATGAGTTCCTCCTGCTGGATGAGTTCTTCCTGTGGGGTGGACTTATCCTGCTCAACTGGCTCTTGTTGGATGGTTTTGTCCTGCTGCATGGGCTCCTCCTGCTGCATAGGCTCCTCCTGCTGCATGGGCTCCTCCTGCTGCATGGGCTCCTCCTGCTGCATGGGCTCCTCCTGCTGCATGGGTTCTTCCCACTGGTGAGGCTCATCCTGCTGCATAGGTTCTTCTTGTTGCATAGGTACATCCTTCTGGCCAGGTTCTTCCCACTGGCTAGGTTCTTCCTCCTGACTAGGATCATCCCGCTGGCTGGGTTCTTGTTGTTCACTGAGTTCTTCCCTCTGGTTGAGAGGATTATCCTGCTGACTGGATTCTTCTCCCTGGTTGGGCTCATCTCTCTGACTAGGTTCCAGCACCTGGATGGGTTCTTCTTCCTGGATGGGTTCTTCTTCCTGGATGGGTTCTTCTTCCTGGATGGGTTCATCCTGACTCCTGGGTTCCTCCTGCTGGCTAGGTTCTTGTTGCTTAATGACTACTTCCCCCTGGTTGGGTTCCTCCTGCTGACTGGGCACTTCCTGTTGGGATCTAACTTCTGGCCGCACAGTAGGTGGTTCTGGGTGGGGTGGGGAGCTTCTTGGGGAGGCCAGTGCCCTCTCCAAAGGCAACATCTTCCCAGGCCTCCACAAAAATGCAACTGTGTCTAGCCAAGAACTCAGCAGAGATGGTTAGGATAACAAAGTACCCAAGAAAGGTCAGCAATACCAGGACCTGAGGAAAAGCAGAGGACATCAACAAAACAGATGTCCACATAGTGAGACCTCAGCCATGGCACACTCAGGCAAAGGAGAATGAGGGACGGTGTCTGAGTACAACCATGTACCCACAATACCTAAGTCTCATGCAGTTATTCTAAGCAGTCTGCTCACTACTGTAAGTAGAATTCCAGCTTTTTATATAGATAAAAATAATCAGGAAGACCAACTTTGTATAAGATGGTAATAACAGGATTTTTTTAAGATTTATTTATTTATTATGTATACAGTATTCTATCTGCATGTATGCCTGTGGGCCAGAAGAGGGCACCAGATCTCACTACAGATGGTTGTGAGCCACCATGTGGTTGCTGGGAATTGAACTCAGGACCTCTGGAAGTGCTCTTAACCCCATCTCTCCAGCCCAAGGATTTTTTTAAAAAAATCTTAAATAAGATGAATATGAAATTTTTCAGGAAAATTTCATTTATAAACCTAGATGAATATGCCATACAATATCAGTAAATTTATTCTTACTATGTATATTGTGTATATGTAGGCCACATCACAACAGACCGAATTTATCCCAAAATACTGTCAGTTTAACATCTAAGTATGTATTATTGGGACTTTAGATCTCCAAAACAAGAAGGATCTAGGTGCAGCATTGTTGTTCCCACTGAAACAACCAAAACTCTGGGCTGGGGAGATGGCTCAGTAGTTAAGAGCATTTGTGCTCTCACAGAGTACCCAGACTGGATTCCCAGCACCTACATGGTAGATCACAACTATCTGTAATCATAGGTCTAGGGCATCTGATGCCCTCTTATGACCTCTGAGGGCACCAGGCATGCATGTACCACATACAAGAAGGCAAAACATTGCCATTCATAAACCTAAAAAAAGAGTAAAACCCAAACCCAGTACTAGCAATATCCTTGGCAAAACCACACAATGAAAGCATTTTCTCTTCTAAAAACTATTTTGAGGAATTCAAAATAAAATCTGTTCATGACCCTAGCTAACACCATCAACAACATGACCACTATCTCCCTACCTAATCCAGTTTACCATAGAAGTACCATTTTCACTTCTTACAGGACTGAACTCTGAAGTAGTTCCTCAAGGTCCAAACTCCCTGCATGTCCTCTCATAGACATCTTGAGCATACTATTTCCTACTGCTTTATATCTGCATACTGCTTGTTTCCCACATTAAAATCTGAGCCCTAGGAGAATAGGGTTCTTTATAGGCAGGTTACTATGGGCCCAGCAGTTTTGGCTTCTGTTTTTGCTCACTACACTTTTTATAAAATAAATTTCTTTGTTGAAGGGCATGTTATATATGCCTAATGGCCAATATGTGCTGTGGGACAATGGTCTTGTACCCTGTCACTTGTATGGTTTTTAATAAAACACTGATTGGCCAGTAGTCAGGCAGAAAGTATAGGAGGGGTGATGAGAACAGGAGAATTCTGGGAAGAGGAAAGATTGCATTTGTCATCCAGACACAGAGGAAGCAAGATGAGAATGCCTCGCTGACAAAAGGTACCAAGCTACATGGCTAACACAGACAAGAATAATTGGCTAATATAAGTTTTGAGAGTTAATAAGAAGCCTGAGCAAATAGGCCAACCAGTTTATGATTAATGTAGACCTCTGAGTGTTTTGTTGGTACAGAATAGCTGTGGGCCAGGCGTGACAGAAACATGTCAAGAAAATGGCGCCAACATGTACAACTGCATCCACATAAAACCTGAGAGAGCTTGGGAAGTAATCCTAGACACAAAAGTTAAACATGGCTAAAACAGCATTTTCTTGGGTGGGCTCTGCTTGCTAGAAGCAAGCAGAGACATGATTCCTTTAAGAGAGGTCTTTATGATTCAGCAGCAGCCTACCCGGTTTCGAGAAGGCAACTTCCTGGGCCGTGCTGCCAGTGTGAACTCTAGCTCTTTCAGGAGGCCAAGCATTTAATTGGGGTTTCTGAACAGCATGTTACAAACTGCTTAATGGCAGCACAGACCAGCTGTGTGCCTAAAATCTGGGGCTGTGAGCATGGCTTGTACTCAACAGACGTCCTCCCCGCCATGTTGGACTGGGTGGAGCCAAAGGCAAAGCAGCCTTAGTCTTAGTAAGAATGCTTAGCATTTTAAGAAGTGCTTCTGACAGATTCAATGCAATCCCCATCAAAATCCCAGCAAAATTCTTCACAGACCTCGAAAGAACAGTACTCAACTTCATATGGAAAAGCAAAAAATTCAGGATAGCCAAAACGATCCTGTACAATAAAAGAACTTCTGGAGTCATCACAATCCCTGACTTCAAACTCTGCTACAGAGATACAGTACTGAAAACAGCCTGGTATTGGCGTAAGAACAGACAGGAAGACCAATGGAACTGAATAGAAGACCCAGATATCAATCCACACATCTTCGAACACCTGATCTTTGATAAAGAAACAAAAAATATCAAATGGAAAAAAGAAAGCATATTTAACAAATGGTGCTGGCATAACTGGATATCAACATGTAGAAAAATGAAAACAGACCCGTATCTATCACCATGCACAAAACTTAAGTCCAAATTTTGGATCAAAGACCTCAACATAAAGCCAACCACACTGAACCTTATAGAAGAGAAAATGGGAAGTACACTTGAACGCATTGGCACAGGGAAACACTTCCTAAATAGAACCCCAGCAGCACAGACACTGAGAGAAACAATTAATAAATGGGACCTCCTGAAACTGAAAAGCTTCTGTAAAGCAAAGGACATGGTCAAGGAGACAAAACGACAGCCTACAGAATGGGAAAAGATATTCACTAACCCCACATCAGAGAGAGGTCTGATCTACAAAATATTCACAAGAAATTGGACATCAAAATATCACATAATCCAATTAAAAAAAAATGGAGTACAGACTTAAACAGAGAACTCTCAACAGAGGAATCTAAAATGGCTGAAAGACACTTAAGGAAATGTTCAACATCCTTAGTCATCAGAGAAATGCAAATCAAAACTCTGAGATTCCATCTTACACCTGTAAGAATGAACAAGATCAAAAACACTGATGACAACTTATGCTGGAGAGGTTGTGGAGAAAAGGGAACACTTCTGCATTGCTGGTGGGAATGCAAGCTGGTACAGCCTCTTTGAATGTCAGTGTGGCGATTTCTCAGAAAATTAGGAAACAACCTTCCTCAAGATTCAGTAATACTACTATTGTGTATATATCCAAAGGATGCTCAGTGTTCATAGCAGCTTTGTTTGTCATATAGCCAGAACCTGAAAACAACCTAAATGCCCCTCAAATGAAGAATGAATAAGAAAAATGTGGTACATTTACACAGTGGAATACTACACAGCAGAAAAAAATGACAGCTTGAATTTTTTGAAAAATGGATGGAGCTAGAAAACATCATTTTGAGTGAGGTAACCCAGACCCAGAAAGACAATTATCACATGTACTCACTCATAGGTGGCTTTTAAACATAAAGCAAAGAAAGCCAGCCTATAAACCACAATCCCAGAGAACCTAGACAACAATGAGGACACTAAGAGAGACTTACATAGATCTAATCTATATGGGAAATAGAAAGTAGAAAAAGACAAGATCTCCTGAGTAAATTGAGAGCTTGGGGACCTTGGGGGAGGATTGAAGGGGGGAGGGGAGAGGCAGGAACAGGAACAGAGAAAAATGTAGAGCTCAATAAATATCAATAAAATAACAAAAAGTGTCTGGTCAGAAAATAATTACAGATATGCAATAAAGACAAACCCAGATGGAAAAGACCTCTAAATGGGTCACAGTGTTGGATATATATAGGCTTGGGAGAAAGAAGAAAAGAATAGAGAGTTATGAAAGAAGTAAATTGTTTTTAAAAAAGATAAAACAAGGTCTTTAAACAGACAGAATAAACTTGTAGAAAAGTAATAGAGTAAGAAAAATAAGCCATGTAAAGATGGAAAATACACAGAGTCTGGATTATGTATACTATTGTGTTTTCTTTGAATTTTTTGACTGTGAATGAACTAAGTACAAAGAGACATTTCATTGTACAGACTGTTAAACTAAACCAGTATATATTCTCTAAAGGTATCTTGACTTCTGTTTTTGCCCACTATACCTTTTATAAAATGAATTTCTTTGTTGAAGGGCATGTTATATATGCCTAATGGCCAATATGGAATATAATACCCATCTATTCAGGATCAAGTATGGAACCTATTTGAAGAATAAGTGGAGAAAAAGAATACCTCAGCTACAGGGACATCCTCACCCCTACCATCTACAATGGCAGCACCCATTCCTTTTTGTCCCAGCATCTATCTACACTGAGACTACTCAGACCACAACTCCCACCCAATACAACTTAGCATTTTCTTATGACTTCTTTATCTCTGAGTGTGAGTAAACTGCCTGCTTTCTTTATAGGAGTCAGGTACGAGCTCTGCCTGGCTCCATCTTGCCATCATTCATCCCCATCTGCATTTTCTTGTCATTTCATCCTGACTTTTTAAAACCTGTGTTTTAACCACTTACTGTCTAATGATTCTTATCAAATTCAACTACTTTAAAACAAATTCCAGTTTCCAAAACCTGCTTATCTTTGGGTTTCCCTCCCTACCTCAAACTTAAAAACATTCTCTCACTCATTCTCTTACAACAAGGGTCTCAAATGTAAGGCCTTGGATAACAGTCTAAGCTCTTGAGGTTTTCTCGATGGTGACTACTTACCTCTGTCCTGTATAGCAAGGCAGCCAGAGCCCTACACACACCCTGACATCTTTCTACACAGCTTCCTTTCAGCTGGCCTCCAAGTTGATCTGCCATCTTCCACTCTAGACTCTTCTTTACCCATTTTCTTCCTTTGGTTCTCCTGGAGCATCTTTTGATATGGGGCGTAATGTCAGCTCCAGTAAGACAACATATCCACATTTTGTTTCACCAGGCTCTGAACACAGAACTCTATGTGGCAAATGAAGAGTTATGTGGTCATATAAATTTGCTTTCTTTACACCACATCAGGAACATTTATCCTACACAGAAAGTGTCCACAGAGTTACTGTGAACTTACTAAGATGTGCACACACAAAGGTTCACCCTACCAGGCCCTGCTGGAAACTCATCTTCAGATTGTCAGAAGCTTCTAAGCTTCTAAGGGTAGAGACAAAGAGCAAACCCAAACAGTAGACAAGAAAACCATTCACACACTAGGTGAGAACTGGGCTCAGGATTCTACCTGAAAATTAACATAGCTGATCTATCCTTCTTGTTCCAGATTCCTCATGAAGTCCTCCCTGCCTGGAGCCTCTGATTGGTCCTCCCCACATCTGCTTCACCACTGTGGTCACCACATAACCATTACCTCTGCTTCGTTTAGGGTGGCCCAGCAGCCCTCAGTCAACTGCGTGAGACCTGTCTCCTCCTCCACCTGTCCTGCTGCAACCACGGAAGAGGTATGGGGGCCTGCAACAGAAAGGAACAAGTAGAAGCACAGTAAGCCTATATAGCCTAATCAGTGGTGGACCTTGTTTACCTGGGAATAAGCAAGAATCATCTGTCCCCATTTCCTTTGTCTGAAAAGAAGACTCTTATGACAACAAGAAGCAACAGCCTAACATGGACAGCCAGCCCCCTTCATAATGTAGCCCTACTAGTCAGGACCAGTAGGATGAGGCCATCTTGGGGAATCTCAAGAGACTTAATCCTAAGCATGCCTTGCCTGACCCTAGACCTGGTTACACTGCTACAAGAACTTACTAGGCAGAAGACCCAGTGGGACCAAATAGCCTGAATGAGGTCACATTCCTGGTACAAATAAGACAGAGATTGTGGCATACCATGATGCAGAATGACCTGGCTGCCCTGGGGTCCTGGAGTCCAGCCCACAGGCTTCAGGAGACAGAAGAACGGGTCAAGCAGGTATCAAGGGTTGTATTCTGGGCATGAAATGTTGAAGCTGAGAAAAAAAATCTAGTGGATGGATGGATGGCTGAGCTAGGGGAATCCCAAGGCTGGTTTTAAACACCTAAGGAATTCACATTGCAGGCTTTTGCCTTAGCTGAAAACAAATCCTTCTCAGACCCTGTCAACAAAATACCATCTTTTCTAACCACTAGGATCTGATGATAATCATGAACACTAATCTTATTGGGGACAGCAGGAACTAGTCACAAGGTCTCCCCTGTAGTCATATACATACTAATATAAACACAAAAGGTGCAAACGTACCTTTAAACGAATGCCAAGGTACACACAAAGGATCATTATTAAAATAGTTGCTTTCTGTGGCCCCTGCCAAAAATATATTCTATTTATATATTATAAATATAAAATATATTTATATTTTCATATAAGATCACACAGAGTCAAATAAATGTCCTAAACAAGCCAGCCTGCTTTAAAAAAAAAAAAAAAAAAAAAAAAAACTTACAGACCTAAACATCAAGAGAAACAAGGGCTCCAGAACAGGAGAGAGAACTTCCATAGGACATTACTAGAATGTGGAAGGATGATCTGGTAACATCCATTGTGGCCTCCAAAAAGCTGGCTGAGATACAAACCACCATAAGGGTAGACAGGTCTGAGGGTGGAGGACTGGGCATGGTAGCAGTGGTGGAGTAAGAAGGAAAGGAAACGGGGACAAAACACTAACAAGTAGACTCTTGACACAGGGTAGGAAGGACTTCTGTGACCTTGGAATTGTTCTGTGTGTAAGCCAACCCTCAAGCACCCTTGTCCTGCCCCTTCTTAGGTAGCACTAGGAAAACTAATGTTTTCTATTCCTTCCCAAAGCCTCCAGGTCAAAACAGCACCTAAGAGACAGCCCTCTGCCATGAATGGGGTCCCTGGACAGAGGCCCGAAAATGTCCTCTGCCCCCATAAGAGAAGGTGCCCGCACTCTAAGCCCCTTGTCATCCCTCAATCTAGTGGACTCTCTCACAGAACCCTCCCCCACTTTCCCATGCTCCTCGCGCCCGATGCACAAAAATAGGGGTTCCCAACCCCTCCCCTGATCTTTATACATACTCATCTTCCCCCTTTGTGGGCTTCCCATCCCCGCCAGAATCTACCTCCACCCACTCTCTCCTAAAGCCCTCCTCTTCCTCTGCTGCAGTCCCCTAATCTAAATCTAAGAACAGTGGCGCTGCGCCCTCTGTCGGCCGCAAACGTAAAAAACACACCCCAAGATCCTAGCCCATCCCACGTGTCCCCCAGATAGCTCTTCCCGACACACCACAAGCATACCGCATTTCCGAGCCACAATCCCACAAGTGGTACTCCCAATGCCACATCAGAACCACACCCCCGATCCTGCCCCATCCCACGCCACACAAGATGCCGGCCCCACTCGCTGTGTGCTGTGCGCTGTGGCGCCTACTGCGCTCCGGTGCCACACCCCCCGCCCCAAAGCCTTAAGGCCTTCACAGCTCCACTCGTGCGAACCAGCAGTCCTACCCGCCTGGGCACAAATCCAAGCACAACAGCCCGAGGTCACACCCCCACGCCAGGGCCTTGGCGCTTCAAACCCCTCCAGGGCACAACACCTTTGGGCCACAAGGTCTCTGCTCCAGGCCCAGCCCACGCAAGGCAGAACCATCTCTGCGCCCGACCCTCCACACCAGCTGAATGCCTACAGCCCCGCGTAGGAGAGCGTCGGGCGGACCGACCCACCTGCTGCGCAGCGTTGCCCGCGGGCTCCCGCAGTCTCGAACACCGAGAGGCGGTGGCGACCCACTGCAGTGCGCGTGCGCGGCCTGCAGCGCCGGAAACCGAGACCCCCAGCGTGCTGCGGGGTCCTTCGCCAGACCTGGGCGGGGAGAAGCTGCTCTGACAGCCTTGCCAGTCAATCCGAGGGAAGGCTGGCTCAGCTTCGCTGCCACGTGCGCCTGCGTCACTTCTGATGCCATTGCCATGACAACGGAGTAAACAAACCGAAACCTAAAAAAGACCGGAAAATACCGGTTTAAGAAACAAACACACAGACACTACAAGACCTAAAGACAGTGAAGACGAGTCTAGAATTCTGATCCAGAGATGAGACACGGAGAAACTGAGATAAGGAGACCAAAGACAAAAATGGGGGCCCAAGCACAAACTGGAGACTCGAGATACTGAACAGTCAAGAGACAAGTGCACAGATCCAGTATGGGCAGACAGAGCTAAAAACCCACTGTAAGAGGCAGGGATTCACGCCCGGAGAGACTGGCGCGAAGGTACTGTTTGGGTGAAAAGTTCCAGAAAGCAAACTGAATTTTTGTCAAATCCTTGCTAATCGCTACACTGAGCGACAAAAGAAGTTGGCCCTAGACGCCTGAAGAGAGCAGAAGAAAGCTGCTTTCCATGGCAGAGCTTCTGAAAGCCATTTTAGCTGTCTGGAGTGATTTTTAAATGTGTAACCGAACAGCTTATTACTGAATAAGTTTCATCCCTTGTTTACATACACAAAAACACTTTTTGTTTCATTCTGAGAATTTTAACTCACACAACAATCAAAACAATTTCACTCCTCCGTTTAACAACCACACCTTCCACCACTTAAAACCACTGAGGTGTGGTCCCTCAGTGCAGATTTGTCCTACGAATTCATATAATTCTTATTGAACACTACAGTGCATGGCCTTTCGACATACTCTTTCACTGTACATAATTCCTTTGAGATCCATTAGTATGTTTAAATACTTTGTTCCTCGTTATTGTTTGGAATTCAATAATCTACAAGATTAAACATGCACCAGTGGGACTTTAAGCTACTTTTGATATTTAAAAAATGCCTTGAACAGTTTGGATGCTCACCTTACTAGACCTGGATGGAGGTGGGTGGTCCTTGGACTTCCCACAGGGCAGGGAACCCTGATTGCTCTTTAGGCTGATGAGGGAGGGAGACCTGATTGGGGGAGGAGGAGGGAAAGGGGAGGCGGTGGTGGGGAAGAGACAGAAATCTTTAAGAAAGAAAGAGAGAGAGAGAGAGAGAGAGAGAGAGAGAGAGAGAGAGAGAGAGAGAGAGAGAGAGAGNATAGATGCCCACAATGCAGTTGCTGTGTCATGAAGCATGTGCTTCGTGTTAAAAACTAAACAAACCAATGGAAAACTGCCGTACCTTTCCCTCCGAGCTGAGCCATTTGATACTGCCAGCACTGCTGTCTGTATGCACCCGTTTCTCCGCAGTCTCGCCAGTGTTTGTTGGTTACCAGTCCTTTAGCTGTCATGGGTATGCTGTTAAGATTGAAGTTTAGTTTCTTTCCATTTCCCTAATGGCCAATAATGTTCTACATATTTTCAGGTTTATTTGCCATCCATGTATCCTCTTAAGTATCTGTTCATTTGTCTCACCAATTTTCTAGTTTTTAAATAAATGTTGAATTTCAAGAGATCTTTTTATCTTCTTACCTATAAACTGTCAGGTACACTGTGTAAATCCTTTCTCCCATTATATTGCTTTTTATGTCCTTACCGAGCCTTTACAAATTTTAAATTAGATGTGTAATTCATGAATATATCCTTTTATGGACTTTTATTGTCCATAAATAAATATATTTTTTATCGATTTTTATTGTGCTCTACATTTTTCTCTGCTCCCCTCCATGTCTCTCCCCTCCCCTTCAACCCTGTCATCCCAAGGTCCCCATGTTCCCAATTTACTCAGGAGATCTTGGCTTTTTCTACTCCTTGTGTAGATTAGATCTATGTATGTCTCTTTTAGGATCCTCGTTGTTGTCTAGGTTCTTTGGGATTGTGATTTGTAGGCAGGTTTTATTTGCTTTATGTTCAAAAACCACCTGTAAGTGAGTACATATGATAATTGACTTTCTGAGTCTGGGTTACCTCAGTCAATATGATGTTTTCTAGCTCCATCTATTTGCCTGCAAAATTCAAGATGTCATTATTTTTTCTGCTGTGTAGTACTCCATTGTGTAAATATACCACATTTTCCTTATCCATTCTTCATTCAAGGGGCACTTAGATTGTTTCCAGGTTCTGGCTATGACAAACAATGCTGCTATGAACATAGTTGAGCACATGTCCTTGTGGCACGATTAAGCATCCTTTGGATATATACCAAAAAGTGGTATTACTGGATCTTGAGGAAGGTTGTTTCCTAATTTTCTGAGAAATCGCCACACTGATATCCAAAGGGGTTGTACCAGCTTGCATTCCCACCAGTAATGCAGAAATGTTCCCTTTTCCCCACAACCTCTCCAGCATAAGTTGTCATCAGTATTCTTGATCTTGGCCATTCATACAGGTGTAAGATGGAATCTCAGAGTTACTTTGATTTGCGTTTCTCTGATGATTAAGAATGTTGAACATTTCCTTAAGTGTCTTTCAGCCATTTTAGATTCCTCTTTAGAGAGTGCTCTGTTTAGTTCTTTACAACATTTTTATTGGATAATTTGTTCTTTTGATGACCAATTTCTTGAGTTCTTTGAATATTTTGGAGATCAGACCTCTCTCTGATGTGGGGTTGGTGAAGTTCTTTTCCCATTTTGTAGGCTGTCATTTTGTCTTCTTGACCATGTCCTTTGCTTTACAGAAGCTTTTCAGTTTCAGGAGGTCCCATTTATTAATTGTTTCTCTTAGTGTCTGTGCTGCTGGGGTTCTATTCAGGAAGTGTTTCCCTGTACCAATGCATTCAAGTGCACTGCCCACTTTCTCTTCTATAAGGTTCAGTGTGATTGGCTTTATGTTCAGGTCTTTGATCCAAAATTTGGACTTGAGTTTTGTGCATGGTGATAGATATGGATATATTTTCATTCTTCTACATGTTGATATCCAGTTATGCCAGCACCATTTGTTAAATATGCTTTCTTTTTTCCATTTGATTTTTTTTTTTTTGCTTCTTTGTCAAAATGAGGTGTTTGAAGTGTGTGGATTAATATCCAGGTCTTCAATTCGGTTCCATTGGTCCTCCTGTCTGTTCTTATGCCAATATCAGGTTGTTTTCAATACTGTAGCCTGTAGTAGAGTTTGAAGTCAGGGATTGTGGTGCCTCCGGAAGTTCTTTTATGGCATAGGATTGTTTTGGCTATCCTGGGTTTTTTGCTTTTCCATATGAAGTTGAGTACTGTTCTTTCGAGGTCTGTGAAGAATTTTGCTGGGATTTTGATGGGGATTGCATTGGATCTGTAGATTGCTTTTAGTAAGATTGCCATTTTTTACTATGTTAATTCTACTTACCCAAGAGCATGGGAGACCTTTTTACTTTCTGATGTCTTCTTCAATTTCTTTCTTTAAAGATTTAAAGTTCTTGTCATACAAGTCTTCCACTTGTTAGAGTTACTCCAAGATATTTTATGCTATTTGTGGCTATTGTTCAGGGTGATATTTCTCTGATTTCTTTCTCAGCCCATTTATCATCTGTGTACAGGAGGGCCACTGATTTTTTTTTTTACTTAATCTTGTATCCTGCTACATTACTGAAGGTATTTATGAGTTGTAGAAGTTCCTTGGTAGAATTTTTGGGGTTGCTTATGTAAACGATCATACCATCAGCTAATAGTGAGAGTTTGACTTCTTCTTTTCCAATTTGTATCCCCTTGACCTTCTTTTGGTGTCTTCTTGCTCTAGCTAGGACCTCAAGAAATATATATATTAGATATGGAGAGAGTGGACAACCTTGTCTTGTTTCTGATTTCACAGGGATGACTGGAAGTCTCTTTCCAATTAGTTTGATGTTGGCTGTTGGCTTGCTGTATACTGCCTTTATTATGTTTAGGTATGTTTCTTATATCCCTGCTCTCTCCAAGACCTTTATCATGAAGGGATGTTGTATTTTTGTCAAAAGCTTTTTGGGCATCTAGTGAGATGATCATGTGGTTTTTATTTTTCAGTTTGTTTATATGGTGGATTATGTTGACAGGTTTTTGTATGTTGAACCATCCCTGCATCTCTGTGATGAAGCTGACTTGATCATGAATGACCTTTCTGATGTGTTCTTGGATTTGATTTGCCAATATTTTATTTAGTATTTTTGGATCAATGTTCATGGATGAGATTGGTCTGTAGTTCTCTTTCTTAGTGGTTGGGTATCAGGGTAATTGTGGCCTCTTAAAAAGAAAATGTCAAAGTTCTTTCTGTTTCTATTGTATTGAACAATTTGAGGACTATTGGTATTAGTTCTTTGAAAATATTGTAGAATTCTGAGCTGAAACCATCTGGTCCTGGGCTTTTTTGATTGGGAGACTTTTGATGATTATTTCTATTTCTTCAGCAGTTATAGGTCTGTTTAATTTGCTTATCTGGTCTTGATTTAATTTTGGTAAGTGATATTATCCAGAAAGTTGTCAATTTTCTTTAAGTTCTCCAATTTTATGGATACAGGTTTTCAAAATATTACCTGATGATTCTCAGTATTTCCTCCCCATCTGTTGTTATGTCCCCTTTTTCATTTCTGATTTTGTTAATTCGGATATTCTCTCTGTGTGTTTGGTTAGTTTGGATAAAGGTTTGTATATTTTATTGATTTTCTCAAAGAACCAAGTTTTTGTCTTATTAATTCTTTGTATTGTTTTCTTTGTTTCTATTTTGTTGATTTCAGCTCTCAATTTGATTATTTCCTGGCATCTAGTTATTTTTGGTGAGTTTACTTCTATTTTCAAATGTTCTGTTAATTCACTAGTGTGGGATTTTTCCAGCTTCTTTATGTAGGCATTTAGTGCTATGGACTTCTCTTAACACTGCTTTCATTGTGTCCCATAAATTTGGGTATGTTGTGTGGTCATTTTCATTGAATTTCAGGAAGTCTTTAATTTCTCCCTTTATTTCTTCCATGACCCAGGATTCAGGAAGCATTGTTTAATTTCCATATGTTTTTGGGCTTTCCAGAATTAGTATTGTTGATGAATTCTAGTTTTAAGCAATGATGATCTGATGAGATACGTGAGATTATTCCAATTTTTTTTTGTTGAGGTTTGTTTTGTTACCAAGTATGTGCTTAATTTTTGAGAAGGTTCCATGAGGTGCTGAGAAAAAGGAATATTCTTTTTTTGTTTGGATGGAATATTCTATAGATGTCTGTGAAGTCCATTTGAGTCATAACATTTTTTAGTTCCCTTATTTCTCTATTCATTTTTTGTCTGACTGACCTGTCCAGGGGTGATAATGGAATATTGCAGTCTCCCTCTACTAGTATGTGGGGTTTAATGTATGGTTTAAGCTTTAGAAGTGTTTCTTTGACATATGAGGCTGCCCTTGTATTTGGAGCATAGATTTTCATTATTGAGATTTTCTCTTGATGGATTTTTTCTGTGACTAATATGAAATGTTCTTTGTCTTTTTTGATTGATTTTAGTTTGAAGTCTATTTTATTAGATATTAGGATAACTATACCAGCTTGTTTCTTAGGTCCATTTGATTGGAAGATTTTTTTTTCCCAACCCTTTACTCTGTCTGTCTTTGAGGTTGAGGTATGTTTCTGGTTTTGTCATAGAATATCTTGTTTTATCCTTCTATGGTGATTGAAAGTTTTGCTGGGTATAGTAGTCTGGGCTGGCATTCATGGTCTCTTAATGTCTGTATAACACTTGACCACGACCTTTTGGCTTTCCTTGTCTCCAATGAGAAGTCAGGTATAATTCTGATAGGTCTGCCTTTATATGTTACTTGGTCTTTTCCTTTGTAGCTCTTAATATTCTTTCTTTACTCTGTTTAGTGTTTTGATTATTATGTGGCGAGGGGACTATTTTTTATTCAGTCTGTTTGGTGTTCTGTGTGCTTCTTGTATCTTCATAGGCATATCTATTTTTAGGTTGAGAAAGTTTTCTTCTATGATTTTCTTAAATATATTTTCTGTCCTTTTGAGTTGAACTGCTTCTCCTTTTCATATACCTATTTTTCTTAGATTTGGTCTTTTCATGGTGTCCCATGTTTCCTGGATGTTTTGGGTTAAGGTTTTGTTAGATTTAATGTTTTCTTTGACTGATGAGTCTGTTTCCTCTATTGTATCTTCAGCATTTGAGATTCTCTCTTGTATTCTGCTGTTCATGCTTGTGTTTGTGGTTCCTGATCAT